AAGACATTGGAAGTTTCCCTTTGAATATTCCTTAAATTTTATAAATACCTTTGAGTATTTCGAAAGCTCCATCAAAATGGTAACAATACGTATGAGAATTTTTAACAGCTGCAAATTGCAAAGATAAGATCATTTAATATTTATTAATTGTTATTGTAACAAAGTGACTAGAATGAACATAAAAAATACTAATTTTTATCTAAAAACTTTAGTGAAAAGAAAATATTAAGCATGGGCCATATATTATAAAAATATCGATTTCTATGGTCTTTGTTTTTTGATACAATAGCGAGTTCCATTTATTTCAGAGTCAGGAATCACGCATTCATCATACAAAGAAAAATTGGACTTTCTCTTCATTCCTGTGTTCACGATTGCTTCTAAATCAGCATTGGTCATTCAGTTTCGGTCTATTAGATCATATCGATTCCAAACTCTCTGAATTGCTTCAATCCAGCTATCAAAGGTAATATCGCAAATTTTCTCAGGCTCTTTTGTATTCTGAATAGAAGTAATGTGTTGTGGAATTTGTGTTGAATAAAACTTCTGGCATACAGCAAAAATATGTTTGCATGCCATTTCGCGAAGCCTGAAATCTGGGCACATACACTCAAAATGCACTGGTTTTAGGTCATTATTTTTTTGAATATTGTCTTTGATATTTACCTCATAATAACTATTTGTTGATGATTTTACAAGATAATATCAGTTACCAGGCAAATTGAAAACATCTAATTCCAAACCAGCAAGCTCATGGTGTCACTGTTCCTTTTGTCTAGGTTTCATTCTTCCAATCATCAAATGGATTGCTTCACATTCGAATTGTGCATCCATTATAGCAGCACGCAGGATCCAAATCAAAGTATCTATTCGATGGTTATATTTGGCTTCCAGGTAAGTATATTTTAATTTTTTATGCCAAGCTTCAATAAAATTTGTTGTGTTCATTTCTTGATGTTCGTATAAGCGATATGCATCGATCCACATTTCACAGTTTCCACGATATTCTCTCTTTATATATTCTACCCAGTTTTTTTCACCGAAGATTGTTCACGAAGTAAGATATTCATCAAATTTACTTTGCACCTGGGATATATCTCGAATCCTCATAATTATGCCAAGTTCATCCAATGCTGTCTTCTGAGTCGCTTGCTTTCCCGATCGTTTAATAATATTGCTATTATTTTTATTCTTTTCTTGAGCTGCAAAATAATTACCATCAGCTTTAATTTTTCCTTTATTTTTTTGCCAGGCATTCTTTATATGCCACTGACATAACAGAATCGTAGCTCCGAGATATACTGTACGAATTGCATTTTGTTGTGCGTCATCGCAATCAGTAAGAAAGGTATGTGGTTTCCATTCTTGATTTTGGTTTTTAATAGCTTCAAGCCAAAAAATTAATGTATCTCCTGCTTTTTTTTCTGATATTAAATGTGTAACAGGTACATTTTGTCTGCCTTCATTATCTCATATAAGTAAGGTAAAGAGATGTGTTTTATGTGATGTTGTTCCATGCGTGCCATCTATGCAAACAGTTTTTGCGCTTTTTAATTTTAACATGTTTTTTTGAAATTCGGTTTGGAACCCATACATAAAGCCTAAAGATGAACTCCAGATCAAGTTACTACATGTATAGGATCCATCTTCTTTTGACAAAGTGATCCATTCTTTGATAGATATATTCTCACCATATTCTTCTTTCTTGTTACCTAAGAAAATCACTCCTTTCATCTCATCATTAACAATATTATAAATGTCGATATAGGAAAGATACATATCTCGTCTCTGTATCAAAGTTAAGGAGTCTGAATCTTTATTTTCATGAAATTGATTAATGCGTCGGTGAAATATCGATACTATTTGGGAAGGCTGCATTCCATCTTTCGCCCTTGCATGGATCCATTTTTTTGCTTGTTGAGAAATACAAAAGTGACGTAAATCTTCATCAGTACCAGGGATATGTCCATTATGACGTGTATAGTGAATGACTCGAACTAAATTTCCCTTCTCATTATGACATTTCAATACTCGTAGATAAGATTTGCAACCTAATTTTTTTGATGGTTTCTGAATAGGACGAGACTTGCTACGATTAGATAAAGGTCTATTAGCTCGTTTCATTGTGCTGGCTGTTGATTTCAGATTTCTGGAACAATGACAGATGTATCTTTCATTTAACACATATTCTACATTCTCTCAGTTATCTTTTTGAATGTAATTGGCTCCAGAAATATTTGGAAGGATGTTTTTAATTCAATCCTTGTACGTGTTTAGCTCAAGGTGAGTATAAATTTTTATATAATTGTTCATATCTGCTTCTGATTCGTTATTTTCCAAGAGCTCATTATTAAATAAGAGTTCATCATTAAATGAGAATTCGTTGGATGAGAGCTCATCATTAGGTGAATACGGCAAGGGTTCATAATTAGGAGAAGGTCGTCATTAATTGAGAATTGATAATTAAACGAAGATTCATTATTAAACAAAAATTTATCATTAAATGGAGATTTATAATTAAGTGAAAGTTCAATATTAGGTAAGAGTTTAGATGTAGATGATTTATTAGCACGTTCGATAATTTTATCAGTCAAGTCTATAAATATACAGTTTGTGAACATATTTATCAAGTGTATTTCAACGATTTAATGATATAGCATTTTTTATAATAAAAAAGTATCGTATTTATGTCTTATAATTTATCGCATTTATATATTTATTTTATTTTATCACGAACTATATCGATATGTTCCCCTCTTTTTTATTAAAGATGTTTACGTTAAATTAAATACAAATCATTGATTTCAGTACGTAAAAGGATACATCTAGAAAAAAACCCCTAATAAAAAAGAAAGACATTACTTTTTTCATTGTGATCACAAAAGAAAACAGATCACTGAAGAAAAATGGCGAGATTCGAATATCTCGTCATTGAAAACTTATCCGTAACCAGAAGCAAGTGGAACTTATTTTTTGGTGATCTGTCAAATATAACCGAATTTGGAGATAATATATAAAGGTAAATTTCTTCTTAAGGAAAATTTGCAGCTGTTAAAAATTCTCATACGTATTAACATTTTATATACTCGCCATCCTTTGCTTGTATTACATCATTAACTTTTTTTGGCATTGAATCGACTAACTGTTTACAGAAATCGACTTTGATACTATTTCATGCGATTTGAAAGTGGTTTATATCGATATTCAGGAAGTTTTCTCAAGCGGCCAGTTATTTTTGTATATTCGCAGGACGGAGAACATGATTACTTGTTCAGACTTGGCAATTTCTCGAATCGAATAATCTTCTTCGTGGAGAGTATGTATATGGGAGCATTTTGCTAATGAAATATGAGGCATCTTTGTTAATATTATTATTTAGAGTGACGAAAATGTGTTTTTAAAATGCATTATAAACAAAAGTACTTTTATACTTATCTTCGTGGGCTTTAATTTCTTGATCCAGATCGATTATAACAAACAGATCATTAAAAAAATATACGTATATCACATTTTTTTTTGATGATCATTTGACTCTCTATGTTATTTACATGTATATATGATCCAAATGAGACATTGATTATTAGACTTTCCAAATCGGGTGGGGGCTACATAGATGTACTCTATGTATTCTTTGTCACGTCAACAAAAAATCACGCTCACGTGAGTACGGAAAATTAACGTTAAAGACTATTTATCTAACGTTAAAGGCTATTTATCGTAATGTTAAAGGCTATTTATCTAACGTTAAAGGCTATTTATCGTAATGTTAAAGGCTATTTATCGTAATGTTAAAGGCTATTTATCGTTCAGGTTAGGGTATGGGTTAGAGTGGAGAACAAGATTATATGTAAAATTGCCTTTCCGACAATTTTTTGTTAGTACTCCGAATCAGATTTAGACATTTGTTTCTTGTATTTTTCACATTTCTCGCATTTTTCATTTTTTTGTGTCGATTTGTTTATCAAAAATTTATGCATTCTTATTGGTTGTTTTTTATTCGGGTGGGGGTTACATAGTGTATCACGTGTATTTCAAGGGTGCGCCGGATGGATCGTAATTTACATGATCTGACCCTTGCAAATCACCGGATGGATCGTATCCCATCCTTGTGGATCACGTGATATTCAGCATGATCCAATTTCAACATGATCCCCCACATAAATTTATCTTTAAAATTGTATTGTTAATAATACATTACTCATAAACTTATTTTTGATCTTGTATTATTATCCATCTTTAATCTTATATTGCTAATAATATAAATATTATAATCTCTATAACTTTGACTTTGAGATTTTAAGAACTCTTTTTAGTAGTTCAGATTATTGTATTAAAAAAATACAATTATTATCAACTTTTAGTGATTTTATTATTAATACTTTTAGTACTTATTTATATTCAGTCTAATAGTTATAAAGTATTATTAATACTTTAAATTGTTATTAAGATATTGAAAGTTTTCTTGAATATTTCTTAAAATTTTATAGATATCTTTGAGTATTTTGAAAGTCAATCAAAATGATAACAAAAGTTTGATGTTCTCTCTGTGGATCAAAATCTCAAAAGTGTTATTTCAAAAGCACAATTATTAAATTCTTTTTGTGAATTAAAATTTCAAAGTATTATAAAGTTCCATTATAATTATTAGTAAAATAATTTTCTGTAAATTATATTTAAAGAATATTGAATAAAATATTTAAATAACATAAAAGAATTTTTAATCAAACATTTATCAAAAAAATTCTCTGTGAATAAACAAAGTTATTAACTATATCTTCTTAATTTTTCAAATTGGATCCAATACAGTTAACTGATATTAAAATAAATTACGTATTTTGAGAATTATGAAAAGAAATTGAGTTAAAAGCAAATTTGAATAAAGAATAACTAAAAGAAATAAAAGATTAATTAGCAAAAATTTTTAGTAAATCTATATGAGAGATCCAATTACTGAACCAGTAAATTAACTTATTCAATTATTAAGAAAATATTCTCAATTCAGTGAATTAGTAATACAAATATATGTATATAACTTTCAACAAGAGTTATAAATTTTATTATACAAAGAAAAGCTTATTATTAACAATAAAAACTTCAAGAACAATTAGCTAAATTACAAAATTCAGAAAATCAAATTATAATTAAAAATAATTTACATTTATCAACTCCAAAATGAAATTTTGAGAAAAATCCAAAAGATCAAGTAATTCAAGTAATAAAAGAAGATAGTAAAGAAAAATTATTAATAATATATAATTTAATTAGATAGTGATTGAATTAATCAATTTAGTAAATATTATTCAAGCACAAACTAATATTACTTCACCAGCAAGAGAAGTATCTTTTATAAAAATTGTTGATTTCTATAAAGATATCCAAGATTTTATTGGATGATTACAAGATTTTGAAAGTGCATATCAAACTAATAATATATCCAATATTAGAAAAGACAAATTATTTATACATATTGTTATAATTATGTTATAAAATTCATTAATTTCATAATTTGTAATATTTTATGAAATTATAAAAATCATATAAAGAACTTAAAATCTTTCACAATTTTATTAATTATAGTATTTGTATACTTTTATTTTTCTATCTTGTACTCCTATACTTTTTATACTTTTTCTACTTCATACTCTTATACTTTTTATACTTTTTATATTTTTACATATTTATACTTTTTATATTTTTTATACTTTATATTTATTTATTCCAAGTAGATATAATTTAATCAATCAAAATTCTTTGAGATTTATACTTTTTTTTCTTTATTTTTTTACTTTTCATTTTAGTAAATTGAAATTCTATTTTTAGTTAATATAATTATCTTTTATATCTTTGTTTTATTTTTAATATTATATTTGTATTTTGAAGAAAATGTATAAATATGAGTTATAGTTGAGCTCTAACTCAACATATCAGAACTTGA